CTTTCCGACACTTAAATTAGTCATGAAATTCAATTTTGTTCACAATTCGCATACAATGGCCACCAATTCTCACAAAAGATATTTTATAAGTGAAACGATTTGAAATTTATGCTAAAATTTGGCAATAAATTTTGGTGTATAATTTTCTATGACTTATGATTACTGACTTCTGAGTGATGGCATTATATAACATATTCTTCATTAAATGCAAAATACAAATACAATTGTATTGAGAAATTCATATCTATTGTCACACGATAGCAAAATGGTCACAAATTTCATTCAAAGACATTTAGACATTTGATCACAATTTTCCCTGCATTTTACAAATTTTAAAAAAATAGTTGTTTTTTCTTAAAGTTTTAGATTTATTCAATTTTTGTCTAAAAATAAAATTTTTAAAAATAATGCTACTTTTATTATATGAAATATTGGTCATAAAATTTTGAAATAAATATTTGAATAAACTATATATTATATTCTGTTTGTAAACATTATATTATAACAAATATTGTAAGATAACCCGAAATATAGTGTATTGTTCGTATGTTACATAGTAATATAATATTACAATATAATATTACAATATTACTAATATTGTTATACAATACTTATAAGATGCTGAATTTTAGACTTGCTTGGGTTTTAGTTTTAATTTTTTAATTTCAAGGATACGTTATAAACTCTGTTTAATGTCTAATATTGTATATTAATATTTAGACATATTGTATAAGGTTATTACTTTAGGCACAGAATATATAATTTAAATTTTTAATTTAAGTACCGCTAAATTTGAATTTATTTTATTGTTTATTTAATTTAAGTAATTGAAAAGTCCGTAAGTAATTAAAAATTAGTTTTAAGAGTAATTTTGCAAATTCACAAACTGTTTATTTGAAAGTTTTATTTAAAATGGTTTTTATTTTTAGCGTTTTTAGCAAACAAGATATTTATAAAATTTAACTAAATTATAAGTTGGTTAATAAAACGAAACACGCCTTAAATTACTATAAATTGCAAGAGAGAGAGAGAGAGAGAGAGAGAGAGAGAACAACAAAAATAAATAGTCTATAAAAATATTCTTATAAATGCTTTGAATAAAAGCCTTGAATTAGAATCAACGCCCAGAAGAGCCCAGTTTTTGAACACTATTTACAAGTTTACATCATTAATAGCATACATACAAATGAATTGCTATTAGATATTAGTTCTTATTTGTCTTCATTATAATAAATGAAAACCTATTATAAAATATAACTCAAGATTAAGAGAGATTTAAAAGAGTAAATATAGAACCGGTTAAATAGATCCATACATTGGATATGGTGTACATTTGGTGTATAAAAATAACCATTAAAAGTAAACCAGAAACAAAATTTACAACTTTTTTCTCAAAATAAACCCATAGAAGACTTACCCTGATATCAATATACAAGCCATTCACTTAAATGTAGTCTCTCTTTCTCCCACACGAGTCATATATTTCAGTACATTATTCTTAATGTTAAATAATATTTTGAATTAGTTTTATCTAACAAACAAAAAATAGTGAGAAATCTTTTAATGATTTTAATATTCAAATTTGAGTTTTATTTAAGAAATTGAGTTCAAAAATTTAAAGTATGCCATAGATTACAAAGTCTTCGACAAATTATTTTCAGTAATAAAATGTACTCAAAATGTTTGAAACTAATATATTTGATTACAATCTCAAACTGTATTTTCACTAAAATATATATTTATTAATTTTAAATAAATTTAATTTAAAAGTCAAAATAAATGAAAACATATTTTGGAGAAAATGGCAAAAATTGATAAAATAATTGCTTTTGAAAAATGAAAAATAGTTTTATTGTTATCTAAATAATTATCTAAAGAATCGATTAATGAAATGATTAAACTCCTAACCCGTCTCTAAATTTGAAAGTTTACAAGAGTTCATCACTTGTTTTTGACACTAAAACCTTTGCCATACAATCATTTACTCGTATGTAATAATAATATTGATATGATATGGTGTGGGAATTGATGGCCAGAGGGGCCAATAGCCCTGAAAACACGGAAACATAATTTTTAAGAGCTTTCACCTGAAATCAAGTCTGAAAGCTGTGAGCAAAACATTACTATCACTGACTTATATTACTTATTACAACAATTTTGACTTTTATAAATCTGCTTAACAATAATTGTTTACTTTTTGTAAGTTACAAATCATTTTGCTAGATTACAAATGTTTGCTGTTGTAAGAATAAATTATTAATTATAATTAATTGGAAAAATAAATGCCAATTTGTTTGATGTAAAAATATATTTTATTAATTTTATACTAAAATATTTCATTTTAAATAAATTATTAGTTCTTATTATTATTCTGGAATGATATGAAAAACCATTGAATGAAATAATTGTAAAAATCTTTTGCCAATTGAATTATTTGTATAAAACTTTTTTAAATATATGTATACTTTTATATAATATAGATATACTTATTAATAAACAAATCGATTCGTGTTTAATATTATTGATTCGACGATATATTATATCCATGTATTAGATGTGTGTAAAGAAAAACTGTTGTCATTCACAATGTTATGGCATTACTTCAAATTGACTTTAATGGTGTGGATCCGACATAACGTGACGTCCGATTTGTGAGTGAATCGTATTTATTTGCCCACAAGTCTCACACCCGACTGCGATGGCCTGAATTGTTGCGGAGTCGGATTGTTCTGTGGCTGCGGCCGAGAATTGGTTGCAGCGCTCGGCTTATTCGAGTTCGCATCACCGCCTTCTTCCTCGTCGTCCTCGGGGTTGGCAGTAGTCGGCGGCGGTTCACTGTTTGCAACAGTTTATCATTATATTAACCACTATCTCAATATAACACTATTATCAAATACAAACCATCCAGCTACAGTTGAAGCCAATTCACATCTTAGAGTGTTTGGATTAAAGGCCAGACCTGCCGGACATCTCTGCAGACGGGGATAACCGCCGACACAAAGCCAGTATCGGACACAACTCTTCTCGATAAGGACAGCACCGTTGGGCACATCCTTACAGATTGCTATTCATTTGAAATTATATTAATAAGAATATTAAAAGTAGAAATAAAATGTAAAACTAACGGTGCTTTTGACAATCGGGCACATTGTCGGGCCAATCGCAGGAGTGGATCACATCGTTGTAGAGGAGTGAGAATGGACATTGTTGAATTGTGGCCGTTCCGTTCCAACAATGCCAGTATCGGGTACAAGAGGTCGCGTGAGGGAACACCCCGTACTGCCACTGGCAGTTGTCGCCACCAATTGGTTGCTCTGTCCAAGTAATACCAGTTGTATTGTATCATCAAATAAGCAATAATGCGTTAGACTTACGGCCCATCACTCGAGTGCCATCAGGACAGCCAACTCTATGGGGATAATCGCAATTTGTGACGAGTCCTCTCTTGTGTCCGGCAAAAGCGAGTCCATTAGGACAGGCCTCGATCACTGCCTCTCCATTGGCGTCACACGTATAATAGTAATCGCAATACTCTTCGTGCGGAAACATTCCGCTATTCTTATTTCTGCACAAATTCTGAGCCGCCTGTCCAGCCCTCGCCTGACTCTCACCTGACATTTTTAATCGTATATTTATTATTCATATTTACAAATATTTTTTATAAAGATTAAAACATATACTAATCTATTCGGTATAAGAAATTTTATTTTGAGATTCTTTTATAGAAATTCTCTGAAAATACAATCTCTTAGTAAAAGAAGAAGAAATGAAAGGATTGCTGAAAACGGTTGATAAATAAAAGCATAAAATAGATGATAGAATACATACCGATATCAAAACAGACGGCAAAAAGTATGGATAATATAATTAAAGACTTCATAATTATTGTGTGAACGGAATACAAGTGTTGAACACGAGCTGATGTCGAGTCTCTTCCACACAATTCTTGCGATACAATGACCTCTCGATCGGAGTGTCGACGAAATGGCACAACAACTCCAAAGTGGGACGACTGCTAAGAACTGAGCGCACCGTCACATTGGCTGACCTACAACTCGATGCATGTCTTACAATGTCTTACAACATATATTTATGATTCATAACTGGCTTTCTGTGGATAAAAATATAGAGCATTTGGTTTCGGCTTAAGGGAAAAAATAGCAAATAATTAATTTTATCAAAAGAAAAAATAATTCTCATAAAAGATAAAGTGTTTGCTTTTTTCTAAAGTAAAACTTCCATTCAATTCATTATAAATATGTTTGATTTTTCTCGAAAACTTGTCTCAAAAAAAAGTTATAAACAATTCTTGAGTCTAAAAGTGTTTTTGGGTGTGGATTAGGAATACACTTAACATGTATTTTCTTACAACTTCTCGAAACAAGATTTTCAACACTTTTCTCGAATTAAATTTCCTTTAGTTTTTATGTTTTATTATATTTACGTCAATCTAATTATAAAATATTTTATTTTATTTATACCAATATTCTCAGAACAACTTTAAATTTAAATAAAAAAGTAATTAATTTATATAATTATAAAACTACTAGAAAATATAATCCTTGCTAATATTGCAATTGTTTTTTTACTGAAATAGAAATTTTAAACATAACTTATATTAGCAAACATAACATTATTTAATAACTTATTACTAATTGGATAATAATTTACACAACTTGTTTTAAAAATAAATTTACAAATGAAGACTAACTTATAAACAATACTAAATCCGTTAAAGACATGCATTTGAATGAATAAAATGTTAGTTTTGCAAACATATGTCCAGAGACCAGATCATGACTTGTGACACAAGAATATATACAATTCTTGACAATATTGCACATCATTTTCAATGTATTCAACTCTTTATGACATCTTTTATCAGATTCTCGAAATAAATAATTGATTTGTTGTATATATGCATCCCATCACTGAATTCAATGAATACTACATTTATATGGCTTTCAATGAGACGGGAAGTGAACTCAAAGACAATAAAATGAATTTCAATGAAAATTGATTTGAATATTAATGAATTGAATTGTGAATAGCATTGTATGGCTAACAATAAGACAATCTAATTGAAGACATTTTTGGGATCAACTCTTGGGGACGTAATTAGTGTTATGTCTCATCATTTCATATGATATCAAAATCACAAAATTTGTGATAATTTAAGAAAAAAACTTATTTTTAATACATTTTTGAATTACCATTCATTGCAACCAATAATTGATTCATTGGTCTCAATGCCAGCGATAGTTAATTACAAATTGAAATTAATGCTAAACTTGTATTGATATTAACGTAAATATCTTTGAAAACTCAAGACATAGA